AATGTAATATCGATGTGGGGAAAAAAATATGTTTATAAATTAATGACCAAGAGAGAAGCATCTGTTTATGAAAGTTAGATAGTTTAGGGGGGACTTTTTCAACATTATAATTGCAAAATAAAAGAAATTTTAGGCCTCCTAATTTAGAGAAAATAAAGTTTGGTATGAAATTCCAGATTGAAAATGGATTATTGAGGAATTGTTTTAACCAGTTTATTTTAAAAGTATTATTTAAGGTGTAAAAGTCTAAAAAATTAAGGCCGCCTTTATTGTATGAGTTCATGATTACTGATTTTTTAATATAATGTTTGTTCTTCCAAATATAGTTAAATAACATCTTATCGATATCTTTAGAGACCTTTTTGTTRACATCTAGAGACAAGGCTGCATATGTAAGACGAGATATTCCCTCAGCTTTAGTTAGTAAAATTCTACCTCTCAAAGATAAGTCTCCTTGTAGCCACTGGTTAAATTTTTTTTTGGATTTGTCAATAATAGAATAAAAATTCATGTTGCTTCTGGTATTTTGGTCTTTTGTGATGACAATTCCTAAATAAGTAACAGACTCTTTTATAGGTATATAGCATAAGAAGGCATGTCACAATGTTTAAGAGCAAGTAGTTCACATTTTTTTATGTTCAGGCAAAGACCAGATGCAGCAGAAAATGCATTTATCAGGTCAATAGCTAAAGGTATCTGAGAGCTGTTTTTTAAAAACAGTGTTGTATCATCAGCTAACTGKCTGATGATAATTTCTTTGCCTGCTACTGAGATACCTTTTATAGAATCTGTCAGTAACTGAGTGCAAAGTAAAAACAGATAAGGTGATATGGGGCATCCTTGTCTGACYCCACGTTTAAGGGAGAATCGAGGAGAAGTACCAGATTGTAATCTGATAGAGCAGTTTCCATTTGTATACATTGTTTTGATAGCATTGCTAAAGTATGAGCCAAAACCAAATTTCTTTAAAGCATGAAATATGAATTTATGTTCGACTGTGTCGAAAGCTTTATAAAAATCTAAAAAAAAGATAAAACTATTATCAGAGTATAAATCGGAGTAATCAAGTAAATCAAGTACTAGTCTGATGTTGTTGGAAATGTGTCTGTTTCTCATGAAGCCGGACTGAGTCTCATCAGTTATGTTGTCCAAGACAGTTTTTATTCTTTTAGCGAAAATCAGAGCAAATATTTTATAATCATTATTTAGTAAACAGATTGGACGCCAGTTATCAATGAAAAGTGTATCCTTCTTTGGTTTTGGTATTAAGGTTATAAGGCCTTGAGTTAAAGTAGGGGGAAGACCTTTATTATCAACACATTSTGAAAAAAGTCCAAGAAGGAAAGGTGCTAGCTGTTTGGAGAATGCTTTATAAAATTCAGAAGTAAGACCGTCTGTCCCTGGGGATTTATTGGATTTGAGGTGTTCGACGGCAAATATAATTTCTTGTAATGTTAATGGTTTGTCGCACGATTCTTTCGATTCAGCATCGATTCTTTTAGTTTCTGTAAGAGAATCTAAAAATTGACAGATAGATTCTTCACTAAAAAATAGGCCGAATTCTGCTCCCCTTCTTCTAACCATCTTCTCCTGTTTCTCACAAAAGCCCCTTCAGCCTTTCGTCTATAAATGTCATCCAACTTATTTTGTAGATTGATTAAATTATGATTTTCGCTTTCAGTTACATTTGCTGGCTTTTTTTGTGTTACTGATGTTATTTCTGGGACTAGATTTTCTTCAACTTTTTTTGCCTTTGCATATGAACTTCCATGTGCTCTCAAAAATTTTGATAATTCMAATTTTAATAGTTCCCAATTACTAGAAAAGTTTTTTTCTGCTAAAGATTTATTCCAAAAACGTTTGATAAGTAAATGAATCATTTTAATAACAGCATCGTGATTTAGGATAGAGCTGTTCAGCTTCCAATWGGAACCTCTATGGTGAGTGCTGGGATTTGGAGAGATTTGTATTAATATTGCTTTGTGGTCTGTTAAAGGAGTAGTAAGGATATTAACATTAATAACATTGCTATCAAAACAATTGGAAATTAACCAAAAGTCTATGCGTGATAAACTAGTACGTGCTTTATTGCTCCAAGTATATGAA